CATTCCTCATTCCACCGTGATATCAGCTTGTGATTAAGAAATGATGTCACTTCCCCCGGGGCTGATGGAATGGATCGATTCTGTGGGGCGCGAAACATTTTTTTGATCACGCGCGCTAGGGGATCGTCACGGGCGCTGCCGAAGGGATCGTGTACCCGTCTGCACGGCAACCTCAATCGTATACATCCGAGGCGAATTTTTTCCCTTGTTCAGGTTGAGACGTACTACTCGTTGTCTTCCTCCGTCATCGTCGTCGTCGTCGCTGTCGTCGTCGTCGTCGTCCGGCATCCGTGGTCCGTCCTCTGTCGTCCGTCGTCCGTCGTCGTCGCAGTCATAGTCGTCGTCGTCATCGTCGTCGTCGTCGATTCAACTCGCTTACATCGGGCCTACGCAGTCCCTCCCGCCCCAATAGAGCATCCGCAGTGCGTCGTCGTCGTTGTCATCGTCGTCGTCGCCGTCGCCGTCGCCGTGTCGTCGTCGTGGTGGTGGTGGTCGTCGTCGTCGTCAACGTCGTCGTCGTCGTCGTCGTCGTCGTCGTCGTCGTCGACAGCAGCGGGTCCCGCAGCGCAGCACCCCATTTTGGGGGCATCCGCATTGCGTCGTCGTCCGTCGTCGTCGTCGAATACACGCGGCATGCGCAGCACCCCCTCCCCTCCATGGAGCATCCGCAGTGCGTCGTCGTCCGACGTCGCCGTCGTCGCCGTCGTCGCCGTCGTCGTCGTCGTAGGACATATTGCAGTGGAGTGTGGGGGGGGCGTGGTGGAAAGAAAAACAAAACGTTTTTTTGTTGCCCGCCTCGGCCGCTCCTCCCCCCTCTTTCCTTTGTTTTTGTGGCCATGTCGGCACCGCCCGCCGGTTGGGGCGCCCTTTCCCCCGTTTCCTTGCTCTCTCGTGCCTGTAACTATTTCGGCCCAACCGCCCCGCTATAGAGGAGGCTGAGCGGCGTCGCTTGCGTCGCTTGCGTCGCCCCAGTCGCCCTCCAACTGTCGGCTGTGTGTCGGCGCTGATCACCGGCGCCGTCGCCGTGGTGTGTTTCCATTTGGCGGGCGCCCCCCCCGCGATTCGCCCGAGCAGGGGATTCTTTAATTTTCATCACGTGCCCTGCTTGTTGTTATCAGTCAAAAATTGACATTATGCGGGCCTTGGAATCTTCGACCCCTGCCATATTTCAGCAGTTGTGGCACGCTCGCGTCAGGTGCTACGCCGCCGTCACCACTGATGTCGAATTCGCCGCTGCTGTCGCCCCACCGCCGCGGTTGAGCCGATCGCATCTTCGCATTTCTCGGGTGTGGTGCAATTTCGAACGTCGTCTTTTTTGAGACAATTTCGCGTGCCGCTTTTTGGGTGCGATTTCGCGAGGCGCCCCAAGCGGCCATGGAACACCCGCCGCATAGTCACCTGTTCGCCCGCCCGCCCGAGTCCGCCTCCACCTGCTCCTGCTCACGCTCGTCGTTTTTTCCCTCCTCCCCCGTCATCATCCCGCATGGCAAAATCGGCCCCTCGACCTGTCCAGCGGTGCGCTCTGACCAGAATTTCGAGGCGGAGCCAGCCGTGGCCACGAAAGGCCTCCCAGAGCTTTCAGGAAAGCGAGCAGCACCCCAAACTTCGACCTTCGACCCTCGGAAATCAGACGACGCCGCCGCCGTCGTCGTCGCCGTCGTCACCGCCGCCGCCGCTGCCGCCGCCGTCGTCGTCGTCGTCGCCGCCTCCCCCGCCGCGGCCCGGCGCAGGATCGACGCTCTCGCCGTTGATGGCGTCCGCGCGCTCCGCGGGCGCGCGGGCGCCGTCTTCGCCGCCGCCGTCGCTGTGGATCGTCGCCGTCGTCGTCACCGTCGTAACATTATCGTTGATTTCGGCGTCCTCATCCCGTCGTCCTCTTCGAAGACTCAGGAGGGGGAGGAAAAGGAAAAGGAAAGCGAGGAAAATAGGAGGCGGAGGAGGAGGCGTAGCAGGAGGAGGGGGAAGACGCAGAGGAGGAGGAGGAGGAGGAGGACGAGGAGGAGGACGAGGAGGGTGCGGAGTGTGGAGTGCGAAGTGCGAAGCGCGGAGGCGGAGGAGGAGGCGGAGGACGAGAAGGCAGGAGGACTTTCTTGGAGTTCTTGTTTTGTTCTGGCCTCGGGAGGTCTTCCTGGAGGCGCCTGGGACCTCCGCGCAGGCTTGTCCGTGCCGCTGGAGGCTTTCCTGGGGTCGCCCGGGACCTCCGCGGACCTGCAAGGATCTCAAGGGACCCCTGCGGACATCTCGAGGCTTGAGGGGGGAGGGGGAAGGCAAGCGCTTTGTCAACCGATCGGCCTCAAGAGCAAACGACCGCTTCCTCGGACGGCACAGCTCCACTACGGAGTCATCTTTGGTGGCCCCACAACCCAGCAATGCGCCCAGAGGAGGCTGAAGTTGAGGAAGAGAGCAGCGGGACTGGAACGGCCAGCTCGCCGGAAGAGCTGGGTGGCACAGACATCGGGCTCCCCGAGCTCTCCGACGCGTGCCCCTCCTCCCCCCCAGCCCAGAACCTTTCGACCTCTTTGGGGTCCGCTCTTCGGCCCGTGCTGTGATGCCGCATCTGTTTCCTGCCTCTGCGAGCCGTTGGGTTCAAGTTCCGAAAAGTACAAGTGATCGAATCGTCTGGTGAATGATGGACTTTCTGATCTGCAAGGAGTGGGGTCTGAGATGCCCTGTAAGAACTGCTCGCTGATGGCCCCGAGGCCCGAAGCGGGCGCCCCAATGGCCAGAGGTGGCGACAAGTCTGGATGGATGCACCGCACTCACATCTATACCCCTGGGTGGGTGTATGTGCGGCCGTTTTTGCGCTCTCATGTGCGCGGCATGTGCGCGGCATGTGCCAGGCATGTGCCAGCCCTGTGCGGCCCTTCTTGGATGGACTTCCTACTGTGCACGTCGTGCCCGGGCATGTGCGGGGGCATGTGCGCTGTGTTTTGGTGTATCCATCATACGCACATGCACGCACAGTCCGTCGCACATGCACGCACATGCCCGCACATGCGGGAGGTGTTCGAGAATCGCAGATCTGTAATCGGCACATGCACGCACATGCCTGTGCAACCTCTCTTCGGGAGGCCGCGCGGGCCCGCACATGCACACACATGCGGTGAAGCGCGCGGGCGCACATGCGTGCACATCCCAATGCACATGCACGCACATGCCCTAGGAGCTGTCTGGGACCCCTGTGCCTCCAATGCCTCCTGGCCTTCGCAGAGCTACATACCTGGGGCGTGCCAGGGCTACCTGAAAGAGTTTGTTGTGCGCTTAGGCTCGCCCGCTGCTGGCGGGGGCGGTTCTTCGCCCGGTTCGTGATCTGGCGGTGGCGTGCCCTCCTAGTAAAACACTCTCCCGCGCGCCTTCTCTGCTCGGCCGGAGAAGCAGGGGTGGGGATGGGGGGGTGGAGGAGGAGGAGGGGAAGGAGGGGGGGACGGAGGAGGCGGATGCCCCCGGCTCGGCCGGCCCGCCCGCCTGTTCGGCTCGGCCAGAGGCGAAGGAGGAGGAGGAGGAGGAGGAGGAGGAGGAGGTCTCAGGCGAAAGTGGCTTGACGGCCCGAGCTCAGGGAATCTCGGAATCGAGAGTTGCGGGGGTGTCTCAGGCGAAGTGGCCTGGCCGCCATGGGGCAGGGCTTCTCCGAGGTGAGAGTTGCGAGGATGTCTCAAGCGAAAGTGGCTTGACGGCCCGAGGCCAGGGCATCTCGGAATCGAGAGTTGCGAGGATGCCTCAGGCGAAAGTGGCCTGGCGACCCGAGCTCAGGGGGTCTCGGAATCGAGAGTTGCGAGGATGTCTCAGGCGAAAGTGGCCTGACCGCTATGGGGCAGGGCATCTCCGAAGTGAGAGTTGCGAGGATGTCTCAGGCGAAAGTTGCTTGACGGCCCGAGGTAGGGCTCTCGGAACCGAGAGTTGCGAGGATGTCTCAGGCGAAAGTGGCCAAACCACCATGGGGCAGGGCTTCCTCGAGATCTGAGTTGCGAGGGTGTGTCAGGCCAAATTGATGTTTGTTTGTACTTGTCACCGGAAGCCCGAGGTCAGAATTCTAGACGCTTCGCGTATCCCCACCAGCCCGTCCAGAAACGACGCCCAGGCGAGTAGAGGGTCGTCCTGAGGGGCTTTTCGGCGTCTTGGGTGCCTCGGGGGGGCCTCTGTGGGCCGTTCGGGATCCTCTTTGGGGCCTCCTGGGGGCCTCTTGGGGCCTCTTGGGGCCATCTTGGGGCCTTTGGGGGCCTCCTGGGCGCTTCTTGGGGCCATCTTTGCCCCCTCAGGAGGCCAAAATGGGGCCTCTGGGAGCACCTTGGGTGCCTCTGGGGGGTCTCTTGGGGGCCTCTTGGGGTTGGGGGCCTCCTGGGGGCCTCTTGGGGGGCCTCTTGGGGCCATCCTGGGGCCATCCTGCGGCCTCTTGGGGCATCCTGGGGGCCTCTTGCGGCCATCGTGGAGGAAATCGATCAAAGAAGAGGGGAGCTCAAATTAGCGCTGCCCCCTCAGAAGGCCAAAATGGGGCCCAAACCCTAGTAAAATCAATGATTTTGGCTTCCTCGCCGAGGCCGTTTTGGACGCTCTGACCGCTCCCCGCCCCTCCTGTCCAGGTCAGCGGGGAGGGGGTAGGGGGAGGGGTAAACCCCTCCCCCAAGGGGAAGAGGGATAGGTGGAAGAGGAAACGCCCTAAACCACCGACGCCCAGAGGGCTGGTGGGATTCCGGCTGGGGGGGCGCCAATCGCATTAATTTGCAACCCCGCCGAGGGCTTTCTGGAGGCGTTCTGGGGGAAGGGCTCTGTCCGTAGCCAGCTGGGCTCTAAGGTCGTCGCCTCCCCAGTGGGATGCCGAGGGGGGCAGGGGGAGGGGGCAGGGTTTCTTAGCAGGCCGGCTGCTTCTCAGAAGCACGGGGAGGCTTCTAAGAAGCCATGTGAAGGCTTCTAAGAAGCACCCTGCCTTCTAAGGAAGCCTCCCCCCTCCCCCTGCCCCCCTCGGCGCGCCGCCGAGAGTCGCCCGCGCCGACTTGCTTGCACCCATGAGCATCGTGGAATGGACCGTCGCCGATGTGACAGATTGGGCGAAGAGCCACGGGCTGTCGGAGGGCACCGTGGCGAAGCTGGCCGACGAGGAGGTCGACGGCGAGGCTCTTTCGATGGCGTCGGTTCTGGGGATGCCTATGGATCTTCTCGCGACCGCCCTCGGCTCCCATGGGGATTCCCTCAGGCCATCCCGGGGCCCCGTCGAGTCATTTAGGCCATCTTGGAGCTATCTTGGTGCAGTCTGAGGCCGTCCCACTCCTCTGTATTGGCCACCCCGAGGTGGAAGACTTGGTGGCGTTGGGCGTCAAACGCGGCCCAGCTGTCAAGTTGGCCGCGCACGTCAAGTCGATGATGCCGGCAATGGTCTCTGAGCCCGCGGGTGCCCCTGCCCTGGCCGGCGCCGTCGTGGCCGGCGCCGCCGGCGCCGTCGTAGTTCCACCGACTGCGGTCGCCGAGGAAGGGATGGGTGTTGACGCGGGTCTTCCTGGAGGTGGATGTCCGGCGGCCGCGGAGTCCCTCGAGGCCTCGGCGTTGCCCGCGGACAGCGTCATGGTCGCCCAGGTGCCCGCCGCGCCCAGCACGGCAGCGATGGGCGCCGCACCGCCGACTCCGCTCTCCGGCAGCCCAGGCGGTCCGCTCTCCGCAAGCCCAGGCGGTCCTCCGGACGGTGCTGTTGGCGCGGCTGTGCAAGCAGATGCTGGCGGCCCGGCTGCGCCCGCCCTTGAGCCCGGCCAGCAGGCGGCGACTGGCGTGGCGCAGGAATGCCGCGGGTGTCAGATCCACTTGGGTCTCCAGAGGGGGTGGTGAGACCTCTTCTTTCTGCCCCCTCCTTCCTCCCCCTCCCCCTCCCCTCACTTCCCGCTCCCCCCCTCACTCCTGATCCTTCCTTTCATTTTTTCTCGCTTGTTACCGGCAGGCGCGCAGACGCCGGCAAGCTTGGAGCCTGGCGCAAAAAATGCAGATATTGCAGGTGGTGGAGCACCGGCTTGGTGTCAGTTCGGCGAACGGGGCGTGGGAGAACGACCCGATGCTGCCCTATACGATCTTCGTGGAAACCTTGCAGGTGCGGGTTCGCTTGCGAGATGCTGCGGCTTGGGCGGATCAGCGCGTTCAGCAAAAGTGGGATGCCATCCCATCCTGCCCTTGGGCGGTCAAGCGGCATGGCGAGAACCCTCTGAATAACATATACAAGTTGCCAAAGGACTGGCAGGAGCGGTGGTCGGAGGCAGCCCCCGCTGTTCCAAACCCGCCCTTGGACAGGAAGATCGCTGAGTTGAAGGGGTCCTTTCGTGCCAACCGGCTGCCGTTGATGAGACAATGGCCTGGTCTGGAGGACGTGGTCCGGGTGTTCCACCAGGATCACAAGGACGCGAGGGACAACGACGAGGACGTTTCTTTCAGTGATCTCCTCGCGTCGTTCCAGGACGGATTGGACGTGCGGCGCGAGGCGGACAAGGCAGCGGGCAGAGCCATGTCCGTCCCCGCCAGAGTGGGGACTGGGTGGTTCTGCAAAATGAAGGCCGCCCTCGACATCAAGGACACGGCCGTCGCCAGCACGGAGATCAAGCGTGTCGATCCCGAGGAAAACCGCGTTCATTTTGAAGATTTCCGCGTGAAGTGTGCGCAGCATGACATCCCCATTGAAATGGTGATGTCGTACGATGAGTTCAATGACTTCAGGCTTCGCGTGCCCAAGCGCGTCCAAGCGGCGGGCGACGAACGCCAGGGCACTCGCAGGCGCACCGCCCGGTCATCCACAAGCCGCTTGACATTGACTTGCGCGGTCTTGTTTTCTGCGTTGCGGAAGGGGAAGATCTTAATCATGATGAAGCAGTGCTCGGCCTTCCAGCAGAAGCAGATTCAGAAGGACTTCGGGGACAAGGTCGTGCTCCACGTCGGCGATAAGTGGATGAACAGCAGCCTTCACCACGACAAGGTCCTGACGAAGATGGTGGTGCCTTTCGCAGAAGACCTGCGGAAGGTCCATGGGAAGCCGGCCGTCCACCCCGTCATGCACATGGAGGACGAGGCGCCGTGTCACTGCGGTGACAAGTGCACGAAGACCAAAAAGTCGGGATTCAAGAAGTGCCGCATGGACCTCCTGGGGACGCACAGGATCGTCCGCCATCTTTACAGCAGGACCGCTGGCCTGGATCGGCCACTGGCGAGCTCGGCCTGTGCGGATACTGTGCGTACCTGTGCGGGGCATGTGCGGGACGTGCAAGAATGCCGGGGCCAGCGTTCGCCTCCGGGCGCCGGCGCGTTCGCGTCCGCGCGCAAGCCGCGCGCGGACGCAGCGTTCGCTTGATGGCGCGGCCCCGCCAGACGGGGCGCCCCGCTCACGCCCCGCACAGGCGCGCGCAGCGCTCGCCCTGCCCGCGTTCGCCGCCAGGAACGGCACGCCGGAACAATGCTGGAACGACCAGGTGCACAAGGCATTATTGCACCACCTCCACAAGGCTTTGCGCGAGGTCGTGGGGCAGCACCCGATCCTACGAATGCGGCCGCGTTCCGCCCAGGCCATGCGGCCAGGAGGTCCGTGCCGGTCGGAGGCCGGGATCCGGAGGGGCCCCACCGCGTACTTGTACGTGGCCGCGCTGGTGGCAGCATGGGAGGAGTTCCCGCAGACGACGCTGTTGGGCGCTGCCGTACGGTTGGGCTACTTGTCCAGGGAAGCGGCAGCTCGGCTGGTCGGGGACAACATGGACCTTGTGTGCGCGGGGCTGACGGACTTGGACCAGCGGCAGGCCGCAGTCAAGAAAGCCTGAATGTGGACGCACAAGGATTGCGACTTCTCAGGGTCGGCCCCCGCAGCCGGCCCTGGCCCCGCCGCCCCGGCGCCCGCTGCCCAGCAGGCGGCGGTGGCAGCTCACGCAGCCGAGGTGGTGCGCGCCAAGAGGAAGCTCCAGCCGGACGCCTTGGCCTCGTTGTCCAAGAAAGCCAAGTCCTCCCCTGGCGCCACTCAGGGCGCCTTGGACAAGGACCGGCCCAAGAGTGCGGACACGACGCTCCTCAACATCGCCACGAAGGCTCATTCGGATAACGTCGGGGAGCTTCGATTCTTCAGGCAGGCCGTCGTGGCGCTTGTCAAGGACAGTGCTTGTTGGAAGCAGCAGCGCCCTGACATGCAAGCAGACGTCATGGAATGGCACCTGCAAAAGCTGTCCGAGGGCTACGCGGAGATGGTTCGCGTCAAGGACTCCAGGGTGGTGCGCGTGACCAACGGCGCCGCGCACCAGGTGACGTTCAGCCGGTTCGTCTGGGACATACTTCGGGCTCTGCACAACCAGGGCCCGGAGGAGCGGAACGCCACGGTCAGAACCATGGTGGGCGATTACCGGGCGAAGTCGCTTAATCCAGAGGCCCGCCACAGGTCGGCCGTCCAACCGTTTTCTCCGCCCTCTCCCCCCCTCTCTGGACGCCCGAAATGGGTACTGAAAGAATGGGTACGATGCCCAACAGCAGTTCCTGTTCATTTTGAACAGGGCTCGCTGTCCGCGCCGCCGCGGCCTGTGTCCATTCGAGACAGAAGGCCGCGTGCCCAACAGCGGCCGCTGTTGGTTTGGGACAACATTTGTTGTTGGGCATTGTACCCATTCTTTCGGTACCCATTTCGGGTTTCCAAACCCTCGCCCTCTTGCTCCCCCTCCCCTTGCTTCCCCGCGCAGGAGGGGGAGAGTGCGCGGGGGAGTGCGGAGTACAGTAGGAGAGGGGAAGTTGAGGAGGAGGAGGAGGAGGAGGACCAGAGAGAACCTGGGATGCATCGGCGATGCTGCTATACACGCTCCCGCCCCATGACCGCCCCCTTTAAGCTCATAAGTTCATGCAACCTGGGCCTGACATTGGCGAGCCCCGCCCAAGGAAACCAGCGGCCCCTTCACTGAGCAGCGGATCTTAAACTACCTCCACGCTGGGCGGTCTGCGAAGGATCTCATCTCCGCCGGCGCTGACAAAGCGGCAGTGCTCCTCGCCCTGCAGTCCGATGATACGCTCTGTTCTGAGGGCAATTGGTCCGGCCAGGCTTACGGGCGCCCTGGGGAGGCCAAGACGGGATGCAAGATATGTAACATACTTTTTAGTGTAGTGCCTCGGCGGAGCGACGGCGCCGCCACGTGTAAATTCTGCTTCGAGGCCCAGCGTAAGGTTAACATGCGCGGAGACATTTTCCTGTGCCTCCCCGACGGCACCCCGAATGAAGATAATTTGAAGATAATTCGCGCTAAATCGGCTGAGCTGCGCAAGGCAGCCCAGGATAGATTGGCCAAGAAGGAGGCAGAGGAGGCTGCCAAGAACGCGTGGCAAGAAAAGCCTAGGAAACGGCGCCGATCGAAGGCGCCCGAGGCGGCCAAATAG